GTGGTCCCAAGTTGGGGACGTTGGATGGGGACAACGGTGGCCCCAAGTTGCCCGTGAGGACTTTGGAATGGGGACAGCAGTGTCCCTGTGTCACCCATGGGGACAGTGGTGTCTCTGTGTCACCTATAGGGACGTTGGATGGGGACAAGTGGCCCATGAGGAGTTTGGCATGGGGACAGTGGTGTCCCTGTGTCACCTATAGGGACGATGGATGGGGACAATGGTGGCCCCAAGTTGCCCATGAGGACTTTGGAATGGGGACAGTGGTGTCCCTCTGTCACCTATAGGGATGTTGGATGGGGACAGCGGTGTCCCTGTGTCACCTATGGGGACAGTGGTGGCCCCAGGTTGGGGTCATTGGATGAGGACAGTGGTGGCCCCAGGTTGGGGACGTTGGATGGGGACAGCGGTGGCCCCAAGTTGCCCATGAGGACTTTGGAATGGGGACAGCGGTGTCCCTGTGTCACCCATGGGGACAGTGGTGGCCCCAGGTTGGATGGGAACAATGGTGGCCCCAATTTGCACATGAGGAGTTTGGCATGGGGACACTGGTGTCCCTGTGTCACCTATAGGGATGTGGGATGGGGACAGTGGTGGCCCCGGGACACATTGGAAGAGACTGACTGAGTTGGGGACATCAGGTGGGACAGGCAGATGGTTGGGATGAGGGGCTGGGACGATGGCCTCGAGAGTTGGGGACATCAGTGGTGACAGATGACAGAAGGACATCAGAGGTGTCCGACTTTAGGACATGGGATGGGGACAACGATGTCCCCGAGATCTGGGGACGTTGATGGTGACCAAGATGGTGGAGATGGGCACAGAGCAGAGTCTTGACACCCCCATCACCACCGTTGACCCCATGGAGGTGACACCGCTGTCCCACATGCAAGGGACATTGGAGAGCTCCAACTTTGGGCCATGGGATGGGGACAACCTGGTCCAACCTCACGGGATGGGGACAACGATGTCCCCGAGCTCTGGGGACGTTGCTGGTGACCAGGGTGGCGGAGCTGGGCACAGAGCAGAGTCTTTGACACCCCCACCCCCAGAATAGCTCCCAACAATGACACCCCTGTCCCCCTCCCCACCCCCTCCATCCCACCCCTACCAGGAAACCGACCAGCTGGAAGAAGAAAAAGCCGAACTGGAATCGGAGATCGCCGAACTCCAGAAGGAGAAGGAACGCCTGGAGTTCGTCTTGGTGGCCCACGCCCCAGCCTGCAAGCTTCCCTACGAGGAACCCCCACCTCTGGGTGCCGGCCCCGCCGAGGTGAGCACCTTGGGCAAAGAGGAACCGCCGGGGCCCGTCGCCTTCCCGTACCAACCGGGCACCCAAGGTCCCTTCCCCAGCTGCTGCTTCGCGCCGGGGGTCCCCCCGGTGCCACCTAACCCCTCCTATACGTCTTCGTTTGTGTTCACCTACCCAGAGGGAACCACCTGCGGAGCCTCGCATCAGCGGAGCAGCAGCAGCGACCAGTCCTCGGACTCCTTGAATTCTCCCTCGCTCCTCGCGTTGTGAATGGGTTGTGTCCCACCCCATCCCCTCCGCCCCCCCCCCCAAAAAAAAAAAAACCCCAAAACCCAACCCCCCCAACTCCCCCTGGGCCCAAACGATTGATTGCTATTCATTTTTTTTTTTTTTGGGGGGGGAGAGGGGGGTTTCCTGCGCTTTTCCGAGACCGTTGTCAAAATTAGGCACCTCCTCCGGCCTTCGGGATGATGCTTTGGTGTTGTTTTGGGTTCTTTTTTTGGTGGGGCTTGAGGGATCTGTTGGGTTTTCGGGTGGTTCTTGGAAGGTTCGTTGGGTTTTTGGGGTTTTTTTTTGGTGGTTCTTCGAAGATTTGTTGAGTTTTTAACGGTGGATCTTTGGACATCCGTTGGGTTTTTTAGTGGTTCTGCAAAGATTTGTTGAGGTTTTTTGGTGGTTCTTCAAAGATTTGTTGAGTTTTCTTGGTGGATCTTTGGGCATCCATGGGTTTTTTCGTGGTTCTTCAAAGATTTGTTGAGTTTATTTGGTGGATCTTTGGACATCCATGGGTTTTTCGTGGTTCTTCAAAGATTTGTTGAGTTTTTTGGTGGATCTTTGGATACCCATGGGTTTTTTGGTGGTTCTTCAAAGATTTGTTGAGTTTTCTTGGTGGACCTTTGGACATCCGTTGGGTTTTTTTGGTGGTTTTTCAAAGATTTGTTGAGTTTCTTGGTGGACCTTTGAACATCCATGGTCTTTTCTGATGGCTCTCCAAAGATTTGTTGAGTTTTTTGGTGGATCTTTGGACATCCATGGATTTTTTCGTGGTTCTTCAAAGATTTGTTGAGGTTTTTGGTGGACCCTTGGACCATCCATGGGTTTTTTTGGTGGATCTTCGGACATCCATTGGGTTTTTTTGGTGGTTCTTCAAAGATTCGTTTTTTGGTGGACCCTTGGACATCCATGGTTTTTTTGATCGACCTTTGAACATCCATGGTCTTTTCTGATGTCTCTCCAAAGATTCGTTGAGTTTTTTGGTGGACTCTTGGACATCCATGGTTTTTTTTGGTGGTTCTTCAAAGATTTGTTGAGTTTTCTTGGTGGATCTTTGGACATCCGTTGGGTTTTTTGGTGCTTCTTCAAAGATTTGTTGAGTTTCTTGGTGGATCTTTGGATACCCATGGGTTTTTTGGTGGTTCTTCAAAGATCTGTTGAGCCTTTTGGTGGACCTTTGAACATCCATGGTCTTTTTTGGTGGTTCTTCAACGATTCGTTGAGTTTTTTGGTAGATCTTTGGACATCCATTGGTGTTTGTTTGTTTTTTTTGCTGGTTCTTCAAGAATTGTTGGGGTTCGTTTGTTTTTTTTTTTGGCGGTCCATTGGGATTTGTGATGCTTCTTCCAAAATTTCTTCTTCTTTTTATTTTTTTTGGCAGTGTTTTGGATTTTTTTTTTTTTTTTTTGTGATTCTTCGGATGTTCGTTGGGTTTGGGGTTTTTTTTTTTGGTGGCTCTTCATTTCTCATTGTTCGTTTGGGCTTCTTTTGATGGTTCTTCAAACATCTGTTGAGTTTTTTCCTTTCTTTTGGCGGCTCTTTGGACGTTCGTTGTCTTTTTGGTGGTTCCTTGGACTTCTCTTTTTTTTTGGCAGGGGGGGTTTAGTCATTTTTTGGGCTGGTTGGCTCCGTTTTTGGGGGTGTGGGTGCTTTGTGTTGGAGGTGTGTCCTTACCACGTCCCCATGGGGACTCAACGCTGTGCCTCCATCACTTTGGAGATGGCCATTGTCACCACCTTGGGGACACCTCCATTGCCATAGAGACGTCCGCCCCACCTCTCCATCATCCTGTAGGGCTTCATGGCCAACGTGTCCCGTTGTCACCACCCTGAGGGACATCGTGGCGACATCCCCACCACCTCAGGGGTGGCTTTTGTCTGCTTGCCGCCCTCCCATGGGTTTATCCCACCCCCAGAACACCCCCACCGTGGTGTCACCTTAGAGGTCACCGTGGATGCACCCGTGTCCCACCTCCATCATCCCGTGGGCCCTCGTGCAACGTCTTCGCTTTGGGGGACGGCCGTGTCCCATTTCTGTGACCCTAAGATGGTCCTGGTGCCACTCGTCACCTTCCCATCCATTCCCCCACCCCTTTGGAGATGTCCCTCTCCCGTCCCATTGCTGGAGGGGGTCCTTTGCAGCTCATCCTTGACGTTCTCAGTGCTGCATCTCCATCCCCCCCCGTTCGTTGGGGGTCCCACTGGGGGTGTCCCTGACCCACTGGGGGTGTCCCCGACCCCCTGGGGGTGCCCACCTCCCATTGGTTGGAGGTCCCTTGGCTGATGTCCCCATCTCTGTCCCCGAGCCATTGGAGATGTCCCCCATTCATTGGTGGCGTCCATCTCTATCCCCGACCCACTGGAGGACCCTCAACCCCCCCTTAAGTCCTTTCCTATCAATGGGGGTCTTCCAACCCGTTTGGGGGTGACCCCAACCCATTGTATGTGTCCCCAACCCTCTTAAGGCCTTCCCTATCAATGGAGGTGACCCCAACCCATTTGGTGGTGACCCCAACCCATTTTGGTGGTGACCCCCACCCTCTTAAGTCCTCCCCTATCAATGGAGGTTGACCCCAACCCATTTGAGGTTGACCCCAACCCATTTTGGGGCTGACCCCCACCCCCCTTAAGGCCTTCCCTATCAATGGAGGTGTCCCCAACCCATCTGAGGGTGACCCCAACCCATTTGGTGGTGACCCCAACCCTCTTAAGGCCTTCCCTATCAATGGGGGTCTTCCCAACCCATTTGGGGGTGACCCCAACCCATTTGGATGTGACCCCAACACATTTCAGGGTGACCCCAACCCATTTTGGGGGTGACCCCCACCCCCTTAAGGCCTTCCCTATC